CACCCACATTATACCCCTCTTCCCTTTCGACTTGTTAACCAGTGATCGGCCCCGTCCCGTCCTTCACAGATTTCAGCATTTCTTCATGATTTTTGGCAGCCGGGACGTTGCCTTCTAGAGGGAGGGGATAGTGTTACGGACTTCGCCAGGGCTCKATCCCTGGTCTATCTTTTGCTGTTTCGGCTGCATCCCGTTTTCGGCCTGGCACCCTTTTTCCAAACCCCTCCTTTGATACCATAGGATTTTGGACAACTGGCGCCATGCTGCAATTCAGGCGCCACTTTCAAATACTGCATTTTTCAGTTCTGCCCTCGGGGCCTTTGCAGAAATGCCCCTGGTACCGTACGTGTCACCGGTACTTATGCCGGCTCCCCGTACGGTACGGGGACGAGTCTCGACCAGTTCTCTGCTGCTGTACTCGTACTCAGTGTGACTTGCCGTTTCGGCATTCGGAATCCAAGACTTCGACTTTGTGCCTTGCCACTGTGTCTGCGTCCAACCCTCAGTCCGAGTCCGTCGTGTCGAGTGAGTGAGTGTGTGTGTGTTCTCACTCTCTCCCTCTCTCTCCCTCTCTCTCATCTCCCTCGGCTCACCCTCAGCCTCACTCCCGTTACACCAGGGATCGAGCCCTGGCGAAGTCCGTAACAGGTACCCGGACCCTGCCTCCAGACCTGTGGGCCTGGGCCAAAACGTGTGGCCCAGGGAAGCTTCCAGACGTTTGGCCTTCTGGGCCAAAACGTGTGGAACTCTCTGCATGCTCCAGAACCTTCCCCACGTGCAGCCCTTACCCAGGTACATGCTGGCTGGACCCCCCTACAGAACCCTACGGACCTCTAGAACCTACAGACTCTACAGACTTTCGACAGACTCAGTAGAGACTTYTAGAACAGGCTTTCTAGGCCTATTGGTAACAGACCTAGCTGCTAATCTACAGACCTAGGGATCAAGTCCTACTGACCAAACTACAGACTAACCTAAGTCGTAGGACAGGTTTGGGGATCGAATCCTACTCAGGTCACGGGGTCTATGTACAGGTACAGGGTAGGTCTAGGGATCGAATCTCACTCAGCACACAGGGTCAATGTACAGGGTTAGGGCACAGGTCTAGGGATCGAATCTCTGTGACTGCAGTACAAGGTCAACTGGGTGAAACCGTTTCAATAGAGTTCAATTCGGGGAAATGAAGGACGCTGGGGGGAGCGAGAAAGAATCGGAGAACTCTGAGACATATGTAAGAAAGCTTCCGCTGCCACTCGAAACACTTATTTTGGACGGAAGATGTCGTATTCCTGGTAAGGACACACAGATGGCTGCGTTTTCATGCTTGTTCCGTAATCTGAAAACCCTTTCTGGTTGCCTTTTGGCACGCTGGGGCCAAGATTTAACCAGAGTCCTCGACCAGCTCCTATGCGCGTGTCCTCTCTTGGTGAATCTACATCTGCATCTTTCCTATCCACATCCGGAATATTTTGTCAGCTGGGTTACTGTGATGGAGTTTTTGGAAGGGAAAACTGGTGCTACTGAGGATTTGGAGGACGCCATTGAGGAGATTGAGGTGGAGGAGGAGGAGGAGGAGGAGGAGGAGGAGAAGGAGGCAGAGGAGGAGCAATTGGAGCTGCAACAGTTTGCAGAGGAGAAGGAAAAGGGAGAGCAGGAGAATCAAGAGATGATGAGGGAGACGGAAAGAGCAGCAGAAGAGGGCAAGTATGACCGAGGAAGATTTCAATCATTACTTGCTGGGACCAAATCACCCCCGATCAGTTGTCTAACGATCGATGATGACTCTCAAAGCATCGGTCAAGAAGAGCTGGATGCCCTCCTCAAAGTGATTCCTTCCCTGTTAGTTCTTGGAATCACCACTTCTCAGAGGCAATTTGCAACTGTTTGCTCTTCCTCTCTAAAGAGCCTTCAGGTTCTGGAATTGCTTAAGACAGAACTAGCCTTTCCTCTTACAATTTGTTGTGCCAATTTGACCAAACTGACCCTACGAACCGGTTTAGCTGTGGTGCTAATGACGAAGATCCACTGCCCAAAGTTGAACGTACTCAGCCTCAGGACGCATTCCATGAATATGCTTTGTGACGACCATAGGAGTTCCTCTTGGATGTCGTTCAATCTGTTCTCTTCGCTGGCATTCGACAACCTTCTGTCACTCTCACTGACCAATGCAAACATGTCCGAAGGAGACCTATGTGAGCTTCTGGCACACCATCTACACAGTCTAGAAAAATTATGTTTGGATCTGCGTTCTGTCCGTCCCACCGGCTTGCCGCCATCTGAAGAAGACATAAATCGCATGCGAGAAGGGAAGCGATGCAGTTTTCAAAAGGTACAATCGAGGAAGAGAGAAGGAATTGTTTATCACAATTCTTTCTACTGTTTTCTTTGTGAAAGTGGTCGCATTGCAACCTTGTATAAGCTGCGGCAGTATGCTCGTCCTCATCCTCCTCCGTGCTCGTCTTCTTACTCCTCCTGTCATTCCTCCGGTGCCATCACCACCAATCCCAATTGGGTGAGGAGGGATACGCGTTCTCCAACCTCCTCTCCCTCTGCTCCTGCAGGCATGGCTGGATGTATCGAAGCTTTCTCCACACATCTCGCTCAGCCTCCAGGGTTTCAAAAACTGAAGTCACTCTGGCTAAGCTCAGATTTTGTGCATTTCCTCGAGCAACGTCTGGAGCAGGAAGCGGGGCCCTCGAGTTCACTGACTTCGTCTCTCTGCCAGAGGGTGACAGAACTGCAGGTGAGTGACGATCACAAGAGCGCAGCCACGTGGTTTTTGAATCAATGGGCTGTGTTCCCAGTCAGTCGTTATAGATAGATAAATGAACTGGCTGTGTTGCTTTCGGTGGTTTTCTCAACGAGTCTGTGGAGAAGGTTTTTTTTTTTCTCTTCTTTTTCCCATGAAGACATTTTGTCGGTTCTTTTTTGTTTTGTTTTTTCATGAACTGGTAGGACGGGGACCTGTCTGCAGAGACAGACTGGAGAGCTGCTGGCTGGCTCCTGATGTGAGTTGATTTGTTTTATTTTTTATTTTTTTTAATGAGTTGATGTTAGCCTTGGGTACTGGCCCTGGTGTAATAAAAGTAAATCTTTTGAATATATTGCTGGAATGCGGGACTGGTCCACGGTTCGAGCCCAGATGAGGGGGAACCGCATTCGCTATGAAAAGAGTTGGCAGCACTGCCGCAGTAAGACACACTGTTTTTTGTGGTAAGACACGCTGATGTGAAGCTTGCAACTCTGGCATGGTAAGAGCATACCCCAGAGCGGGGTGCTTAATATGCTCTTTTCCCTTTTTCTACTTTCTGGGAAGTGTGCGAGGATCCAGATTCCAGACCCATCGGCTATGCAGGGAAAAGGCCCTGCCTGCCCTGAGTGAAGTCGAGGCTTGCAGTACCGAAGCTGGCCCTAAGTGAAGACCGGCCTGGCTTAACAAGGACCCCCAGGCTGGTTGACAGCAGTCATCCTCTGTAACGAACCGGTAGGCCCAGACCACGAGGTGGCTGCAGAGGCTGGGTCTGCACACTGACCCAGTGGGCCTCAGAGACTGCCTACTGGGACAGGCCGAATGAATCCTGGACGCGGCCTCCTCATCCAGCACTGCAATGTCGGGGAGATCACAGGGGGAGACACATTCGGGGGCATTGTGCTGCAATGTACTTAGTTCTCAACTTCTCACGAACTTCGATTGAGTTTTGAGCTCTCTATGGCTTGAACCTTGGACCTGTCCCTTACGGGGAGCTTTGCTCTGCTGCTGTACATTTTAGACCCACGCTGCTTGTGTTTGCTCCTTTTCCCCTTTTGCCTGTTTGGAGTCTAGATTCGGTCCTTGGCGGTAGGCTGTCGGTCTTCGGCTGTAGGATGTCGAGTCCTAGAGCGGTAGGCTGTTGAGTCCTAGGGTGTCGAGGTCTACAAAAGCCTAGGCCACGACGAAGTTCGGCTTCTGTTCCCGTTGGTGTTTCTTCACTTTGTTTTGGCGAGGTCGCGCTGAAGTCACAGCACTATTTCCAGTAGCGCAGAGAGGGAACTCCATCTCTGTGATGACTGGCAGCCATAGTTGGGAACAGCCAGCATCCAAGGTAGCAGCGCAGGACAGATGCCCTTGAGAGTTGAGCAGCGCGTCCTTGTGCCCGTGTGCCTGTTGGGGTATGGCAGAGCTGCCATCGAAGCAGGCCTCTTTACTGGTTCTTCTTTTTGAAGTGGCAGCGCTCTTCGTCTTCATCGAGCTGGTGTTCTTCTTCTCCATCCTGGGAGCTGCGCTTCCCTGCTGAGCGCACACTTCATCTGCAGACGGCTTAATGGTTCTGCAGAGTGACGTCCATAAGCTCGAAAGCTGCAGCAAACTGATCTCGTGACAGCTGCCCAGATAACCAACCTGGACGTCGAGGACACACAAGTCGAGGTCGACCACCACCTGCACGATGACGAAGAATCGATGCTTCCAATCGAAGTAATTCTCGCTCGGCGTGTTGGCAGGCCTGTCGACGCAGATTTGTGTGCAGTCCACACGTCCGCAGCAGTAGGGGAAGCCCTTCTCTGTGAATGCGCGAGAGACGACTAGCCGGCACCACTCCTGTGGCCACGGTATCTTATGTGAGTACACCGTCAACAACCGCATGGTGACGTCGTCGACAGCTACTAACCCCGAAGCTCGCCCAATCCCGAATGAGACATGCTGCTGTCATACGTTTCTCCACTCGCCCAGCGACAGAGTGCATACGCTACCATATGGTCTGGTGTCAGCGGCACTCTGTAAAAAGTACCCTGCTGCTGAAGATGAGGGGCTAGTGCCTGGGCGATCTCGCTGAACACTCTCTGCGGCATGCGCAGCTTTTCCTTGTAGTAATCATCTATTGCGTCGTCACACAGTCGCAGATCCTCCCGCGTCCTTCCCGCGCTGCAAGTATGCGGAAGCGCTGCTCCCGCGTCCTTCCCGCCACTTGTGCATCGGAGGTCTGCAGGTGCCCGACGATGAAGACGGCAAAGGAAGAAGACAGCGGCCACAGCCGCTGGCGGAGGAGGAAGACGACCACAGCCATAGCCACCGAGTTGTTGACATCAACAGATAGAGTGCAGTGTGTGTGTGTGTGTGTGTAGCGGCGTGGACATTCAGGGTAGATACTAGTGCGTGCGTGTGTGCGTTAGAGAGAGTTTGACAGTGGAGAAAAGTGTTCGGGTTGGAATTTTAGAGAGGCGCCCAGCGCCATAGCTGTGTGACAGTACAAGTTGTTTCCAACGAAGTTCTTGGCCCAGTTCATATCTCTGAGTTTTCTGTGTGGGCGCCTGGCACCAGTTCAAGTGTCTGCCGATTCTGCATATTTGCAAGTTGTTGTGTTATCTGAGTCCACACGCATGCATGCTGGTGACGAAAGAAGTCTAAGTCTGATTGCATTGTAATCTATTTAATGAATTTTCATCACTAGTTTAAATCCGTTTCTTTTTTTGCTTTCTTTTTTTTCTTTTTTCTTTTTTTTTCTTTTTTTTTTTCATAAAAATTTGGACCATTTCTCGATTTATGCGTGTCATCCTTGCGCAGGGGCCATGCTAATCTTCTCAGTATCGTTCCAATTTTAACGGATGTCCCGAAGGACTTTTT